TGTAGCTGCATTTTATTCAGGCTGCAGTACATAACTTTAATAAAAAAAAACATGTTTTCTTTATATTTGTTAAAGTTGTCACAATGTCATAGCAGTTTGTTATGAGACAGATAATCTGTGAAAACAATCAATCTCCTCCATCTCCTTCCTGAATTACTGGTTAAAGTAATGCACCATTCTGCCCAAAACAATCAATCAGAACCAGGATGAGGGTGTTAGTGTTGTTAATCAACTTCATTCACTCACTGCTAAATGTACTAATGGTGGAGAAACAACTTATCATTACAAGAAACCGTTTATCTGCCATCATTGGTAGCTATGCTAACTAAACTGAGCATTCACAGTTTGAATCTACACAGCTCTGTGCTATGCTAGTTCCAGCACGGCACAAATCAAGGGGGAGGAAGGATGAGCAGCACCACATGAGATTGTGATTGACAGCACTAAAACTCTCCTGCCTCTGATTGGTTGTTTCTAGCACTGGGAGAAGGCAGAGGAAATAGATTTTTCAGATTACCTCTCATACCATACTGTCACAACATAATGACAGTTTTAAAAAATATGTGAAAAAAAATATTTATATAAAAGTTACATACTGCAGCTTTAATTTCACTCAGGAGAGGATGGGTCAGGAGGGACGTGTGTTATAACTGCTGCTGACTGACTCATCTGTTAAGTGGTAAAAGGTACAAGGGACAAGTTAAATATATGAATATGTTGGTAATTTTTTTCCTTAATTCATTAAATGCTAGTGTAAATGAGGCAAACAGTAGTCTGTAGCTAAGCTAATTATGCTAAATGGTTGATAATCTCACACAGTCTACTCACCTCTCTTGGAGAAAAACTGGGTTATAAATTAAAACTCTTGCCTGCTTCTCTCTCTCCCTCTCTCTATTTTGTTTTTGAAAACCTAATTTTACAACTTTTCTTAGCAGCGTAGTAAATGCCACAGTCGTTCTTGTTTCTTACTGTCTGCTGCTAACAGCGTCACTCTCAAGAGCTCCAAGTAGGAACGAACCATTTAACGCAGATAGTGGGGCTTGAGGGCAAATATGGATGCGTGTTTTTTGATCTGGGAGTGGGAACATAACATTTTTACTGCTAAAACCAATCTTTGAAAATACAATATGATTAATTTTGTATTAGGACCCTGATTTTTTTATTTTTTTATTTCTATGAAGAAAAAATAAATAATTAAATTGTGGAGGGCCCCCTGTTGGTCAGGGCCCCTAGAATTGTCATCACTTTCCCCCCTATACCGCACCGCTGCTTGTGACAGACTTAATATTAATCTTCTTAAATGCATGCTATAATTTTAACCTTGACCGTTTTATTATTTTGCAGGTGATACTTCCGATTATGAAACAATCCAGCCAACCTCTAACTATAGTAAGATTTATTTCTTGAAGCCGTTTTAATAGCTGTCTGGGTTGAAATGGTTTGAAATTAAACACAGAAATGTTTCACTAGTAAATTAATCCAAGTATCAGCTAACAAGCTTTACTACTTTGAAAAGCACTTTAAACACATTTCATCACAGCTTCTGCATCTTCAAACCAAATAATATCTCCTGCAGATGATCGATGTGCTCTAAAAATACTGAGATCTGGTTTTTATTTTAGAATCCATTGAATGCTAAAAGAGTCACTATAGTGAGAAGAAAACAACAAGGTATGTGAACTCTGCATTGAGATGAATTTGTAAATATTCAATGTCATTTCATANTAAAAGTGACATACTGCAGCTTTAAGTCCACTCAGGAGAGGATGGGTCAGGAGGGACGTGTTTTAGAGCTGCTGCTGACTGACTCATCTGTTAAGTGGTAAAAGGTACAAGGGACAAGTTAAATATATGAATATGTTGGTAATTTGTTTTCCTTAATTCATTAAATGCTAGTGAAATGGAGGCAAACAGTAGTCTGTAGCTAAGCTAACTATGCTAAATGGTTGATAATCTCACACAGTCTACCCACCTTTCATGGAGAAAAACTGGGTTATAAATTAACACTCTTGCCTTTTTCTCTCTCTCCCTCTCTTTTCTTTGAAAACCTGATTTTATAACTTTTCTTAGCAGCATAGTAACCGCCACCATCGTTCGTGATTTCCACTGTCTGCTGCTAACAGCGTCACTCTGAAGCTCCAACAGGATCGAACCATTTAACGCAGACAGGCAAATATGGATGTGTGTTTTTTGGTCTGGGAGTGGAAACATTACATTTTTACTGCTAAAAACAATCTTTGAAAATACAATATG